CCCGACCCGTGAAGCACATCTTATACCACCGAATTAGACCAACACCAACCGGCCTGACACCCGCCACTAACCACCCCCCCGACACCAGTCCCCAAACCTATCCGGAAACCCGCTCAGCCATCTGCCCCCACATCCCCCAATCCCCAAGGCCCCAGTTATGTGTGTGCAGGGGCGAGGTCCTATTAGCAGTCGGATAGGAGTGGGGCCGATCCAATGTGACACTGAGTGGCAGCGACCTGACACGTTTATTACAAATTTATGGGTTGAGAAAACAAAAGACAGACAAACAAAAAAAAAACACAAAGACCTCCCACCCGAAATCACGACACAGTGTTTCTCAGCCATCCGATCACAAATGATCTGATGGTGGTGGTTGCAACAACAATGAACAAAGCAACCGCCATATTTTATGGAATAAACTTGACTTCTGTCAGCACTGATCCTGACACCCTCCATATAATCTGTGATTGAATGAGGGCTTCACCCAATGAGATATTGCACAACAACAAGTAAAATACTAAAAATCTTATGTCCAGTGGGTCAAGGCCAACCCCACCCTCATTTTGGGTTAGCCACACCCCCAACCGAGTGAAAAGATTCTGGCGGGAAGCTTTCTTTACACGGGCATGCCCAGTGTTAAGGAGAGRAGGAGGGGAACGAAGATCTCCTTACTTTTTCGGGTAATACAAGTAAAATACTGACCGTGGGATCACGCGTACTGCACGGCAGGATTTGGGTCACTCAACTGCCCCACAAACTCGTTTCTATCCTATCTCGTTGTTAGTGGGACCTCGCACCTGGTGTGCTGTGTGTGCGTGCATGTGTGTATGTGTGTGCCTCTGTGTACAACTATCAACAAAAGAGCGGCCATATTTTTATGGAATCCGTATGCTGGGGACAATGATGACTTTTTGTCAAAGGTAGTTTGGGATCTGTTATGCTTTACCAAGGAAGAGGGGGGCTCGGGAATGATTGACCCATACCGTAAGAGCCTCGCCATGTTGGCCCGCTGGGTCACTCAAACGATCATGTCTCCTGAGGAAGCCCATTGGATCTCCATGGCTGAATCCATTCTGGCAATGGAATGGAACTTGGCGAGACAATCGGATGCATGGACTTGCTTATTACTCCCCTCATATCAGAATAGATTAATTGGTTCGGACCTGTGAAAAACTATCATACGAGCCCGGAAAAAGGTACAGCCAAATACGTGGCTACAGCCTGTTACAAAAGCCGAAATCTTGCTGCAACCTCTGTTCGAAAATCCGTCCATCAGGAAACCCGACAACAACTGGTTTGCAGCAGATTCAGCAAATGCTAGCTTCGGACGCTGCTGGATTAAGAGACCTTATTAGCACGATTCCAGAGCAATGAAAATCTCTCTTAATTCTGAAAGGGGTAGACCCTTTCGGGAATTGGTATACTAGCCAGGATCCAACCACCATAAATTCTTTCTGGAAACAGGAGCATATTGATTGTGACGGAAAAAAATCCTTCAAACTCTGGACTGGGGTATAAAGTGACCACCCGAGTCAACTGGTGCTACAAGTAGATGCCACTCACCCCCTTTTTACTGCAGGCCTGACCCAAATCCGGGTGCGGGAACTCTGCGATGAGGACGGAAACTGGACCTGTAATGTATGTGCATATGGACTCCCAATCTCCAGCTTCAGCCTGGATCTTAAAATGTGGGGCTGGAAAGGGGAAGGCCCAAAAGGGGAAGTTCTCCCCCTTTCATCGTACTCTGCAGATTTGGGATATAAGCTTCAGACCCCTGCTCGTACTCCGCTTAATGTAGCCACAACGAGATGGTGTCAGGTTCTGGACTGTGACTATCCCACTTGACCCGATGCTGGGGACAACTGGCCAAGGCTTCGAACCTAAGACTGACAGTTAACTCATGGCTGCTCTCCTTACTGGCCACTCCCTCGGCAGTAAACCTAGTGCAACATGGAGTGAATGTGGAAATGACTTGTAAAGATGTAGCTGGTCATATGAGCCCACCACGCATCTGTGGTATGTCTGCCCAGCCTCGAAGTGGGTTTGGGACTGGTGGATGAACTTCTGGTCTGAACTCACTGATAACTATCTGGACTGGAATCGAATCTGGGTACTGTTGAGTGAAATTCCGGACTCTTTGAATCCCAGGCAAGGATGGGGTACATTGCCCAAGTGGTTTGTGCGATTGGCTGTGAGGTAATTTGGAAAGAGAGGAACCTACGAATATTCAACAACAAGGAGATTAGAGGAATGTTCAAAATGTCATTGAGAATGATTATTCAGGCAGATTAGATGAGGAAGGGACAAGGTTGCTTGACTAAGTGGTTGGAGGACACCTGGGGCAGTGAAGGCAAGCTGGTGAAGTTGGAATCAGGGAAGTTAGTATGGAATAGCTGTTTTAGGAAGATCTGAACCTGCGTTGCTCGGTTCCCTAAAATCCGCAGGAGGATGGCAGCTGGGTTGAGAATAGAGGCGGGAGCACCACACCAGTCCTTGTGAGTCCCTGTGGGGTCCACCCGTCCATGTTAGACGGAGTACCTGTGTATTAGGAGCAGGATAGGTTGGAGGTTAGGATAGCTCTGGTTTAGGAGGATTGGTCACGGAAGAGTTTGTCCGTTAGGAGTAGGAGGGGGGGTATGTACGTTTGGTTTTTGGGTTTGGTTCTTAGGGGAGCTGGGTTCGTTTTCCTTTCCAGGAGCAGGGTAGCAGGACACAGGCCTGTGTTTTGGTCATTTTGTTCCTTGAGTTTCCTAGGCTCCTGAGTCTCTTGGTTGAAGTGGTTCCCCAGCAAGTGCTCGTAAGCGAAAGTGGGTAATGCTCCCAGATGTTACTCTGGGTTGAATTGTGAGGTCCCCGGCCTCAAGTTTTACTTGTGGTCATAAGAAGAGAATTAAAAAAAAAAAAAAAGGAGGAACATGGGACTGGTTTATTCTGTTCCTGTCGTTGCACCGTCCATCTTCGAACCCGGGGCTATTGGCAGGCCCAGGCTTTCGAGGGCATTTTCGCCACCTGGAACCACCGTCTTCTAGCGCGAGGTTCTGGAGAAGGCGAAGTTTCTAGAGCGCGGAATGTTCTTCTCCGGGTTTTTTCGAAGTCTCCGGTAGCACTGCAGAATGGTCCCGCCAGCTTAACCCGCCAGCTTTCTGGACCTCACAACGGAAAGGCGGTTCTGAAAGAACGCAAACTCACAGGATACTCAGACGACGGACTGACCGTTAAAGCGGGAATGGTACATCCATCCTCGGAAAACTAAAATATATTGCTGTTCCAGAAACATCGTCCAGAAGTCGTCGTGCGAGTATGCCCTCGGAAAACTCAAATATTACTTTTCCAGACGCTTCGTCCTGCCAACACGTCTTCGTCGCGTATACAAGCGAGCGCCGCTGCATTCTACATATAAACAGTCCATGCAGCCCCCCGTGGAGCAATCAGAATCGGAGATCTGCAATTCGGAAAGGCAATCTAAATTGGATCGCATTCTGTGGGCACGCGCATCCAACGCACGGAAGAGTAAGTGAGAGGTCACGTGACGAAGGTGATCATTGTGTGAAGCATTGTCGTGAGGAGGAGAATACGAACGAATAGTGTAGTGAGTGGACGCCCCACGCCGACACGGTGGTTGGAGAGGCATCTCTTGGTTTGATTTAGCTGCGTTGCGACGCTTGCTTGGCATTACGCGTGCGCGTGGCTGAGGGGGTCGATTGCAGTACAGGGTGCGAGTTCACGGCTGACAGACGTGGTGGCAGGAGGCAGGTTGCACTAGAAGCGGGTGCGTTCGACAGGAAGGGAAGGAGCTGCACAGTCGCTATGGCGCCGCGGCAGCAGAAGAGCGGGAGTTCGGGTCCTGCCATTGGGATTGACCTGGGGACGACGTACAGCTGTGTGGGCGTCTGGCAGCTTGATCGCGTAGAGATCATCGCCAACGACCAGGGTAATCGTACGACGCCGTCCTATGTCGCTTTCACCGACACGGAGCGATTGATTGGCGATGCTGCGAAGAACCAGGCGGCCATGAATCCGGCAAACACGGTGTTCGATGCGAAACGGCTGATCGGGCGCAAGGKGAGCGACCCGTCCGTGCAAGCGGACATGAAGCTGTGGCCTTTCAAGGTGGTGGCCGGCAGCGGGGACAAGCCCATGATCAGCATCGGCTACAAGGGAGAGTCCAAGCAGTTCGCCCCCGAGGAGATATCGTCGATGGTGCTGACGAAGATGAAGGAGACCGCCGAGTCGTACCTGGGGAAGGAGGTGGGGAACGCGGTGATCACGGTGCCGGCGTACTTCAACGACTCGCAGCGGCAGGCGACCAAGGACGCGGGCGCCATAGCGGGGCTGAACGTGCTGCGGATCATCAACGAGCCCACGGCGGCAGCCATCGCGTACGGGCTGGACAAGAAGGACAAGTCGGGCGGGGAAGCGAACGTGATGATCTTCGACCTGGGAGGCGGGACGTTCGACGTGTCGCTGCTGACGATCGAGGACGGCATTTTCGAGGTGAAGGCGACGGCCGGGGACACGCACCTGGGAGGGGAGGACTTCGACAACAGGATGGTTCACCACCTGGTTCAGGAGTTCAAGAGGAAGCACAAGAAGGACATCACGGGGAGCGCGAGGGCGCTGAGGAGGCTGCGGACGGCGTGCGAGCGCGCGAAGCGCACGCTGTCCACCACGGCGCAGACGACGATCGAAATCGACTCCCTCTACGAGGGGATCGACTTCTACACCACNACGGCGTGCGAGCGCGCGAAGCGCACGCTGTCCACCACGGCGCAGACGACGATCGAAATCGACTCCCTCTACGAGGGGATCGACTTCTACACCACGATCACGCGCGCTCGCTTCGAGGAGCTGAACATGGACCTGTTCCGGAAGTGCATGGACCCGGTGGAGAAGACGCTGCGCGACKCSAAGATGGACAAGTCGCAGGTGACGGAGGTGGTGCTCGTCGGMGGSTCGACSCGMATTCCCAAGATCCAGCAGCTGCTGTCAGACTTCTTCAACGGGAAGGAGCTGTGCAAGAGCATCAACCCCGACGAGGCGGTGGCGTACGGCGCGGCGGTGCAGGCGGCCATCTTGACGGGCGAGACGAGCGAGAAGGTGCAAGATCTGCTGCTCCTGGACGTGACGCCGCTCAGCCTGGGAATCGAGACGGCCGGCGGCGTGATGACGGTCCTCATTCCGCGGAACTCCACGATCCCGACGAAGAAGGAGCAGGTCTTCTCCACGTACGCGGACAATCAGCCGGGCGTGCTGGTCCAGGTRTACGAGGGCGAGCGCGCCAGAACGCGGGACAACAACCTGCTGGGCAAGTTCGAGYTGTCGGGCATTCCTCCYGCRCCGCGYGGCGTGCCCCAGATCACCGTCRCYTTCGACATCGACGCCAATGGCATCCTGCACGTKAGTGCGGAGGACAAGAGCACCAAGCAGAGGAGCAAKATCACGATCACCAACGACAAGGGGAGGCTGAGCAAGGAGGAGATAGAGCGGATGGTGAGGGACGCGGAGAGGTTYAAGTCGGAGGACGAGGTGGCGAGGAAGAAGGTGGACGCCAAGAACGGGCTCGAGAATTACGTGTACAACCTGAGAAACAGCGTGCTCAAGGATGACAACGTGGCGTCCAMGCTGGACCCGGCAGACAAGGCGAAGATGCAGAAGAAGGTGGAGGAGGTGATGGCYTKGCTGGATMGCAATCAGCTGGCGGAGSTGGACGAGTTCGAGGACAAACAGAAGGAACTGGAGAGCCTGTGCAATCCGATCATGTCCAAGMTGTAYGCTTCGGCGGCCGGGSCCGGCGGCATGGGCGGAGGAGGTGCGGGGGTTTTCCCCGCCGGGGGCSCAGCAGCACATGGCAAGGCGACGGCGGGAGCAGCGGGAAACGGCCCCGTCATCGAGGAAGTTGACTAAAGGTTGTTAATTGAAACTGATTGATCGATCGATTGACGTGTGTTCAAGCAGATGACGACGGTGTTGCCGGTGTGTCGGAACACCGCGGACTGTATAGGCCCTGGGGTAATTTTTATCGTAAAGAGGCATTTGTTCGGAGTCTTGTCAGGCAAGGCTCCTTCTGTACAGCGGCATTTGTTTCTCACTGGAAAACGTTGTTGTTGTTATTAGCACTTGCAGGGCGCGTCTGAGTCACTCTTGCGTGGGAGGGGTATGGGTTGTGCTGTTCAAAGAGTGGTAGGTAGGTAGGGACAGGGACACGAGGAAGATGTCGAGGGGGAGAGAGACATCTAACAATGTGCTTGGAGGTCTGGTTTTGGCGATCGCTGGCACCGCCCGTAGTGTACGCAGTGTAATTTGCCACGTCGGCGAGGCAGCTATGTTCAAGACGCGTCGCAATTCTTTTGGGCGATGATTTACGATCTCGTTCACACACACTGCTTGTGAGTAGTACGCCACCATATTGAGCGGCTGTTTTATTCTGTCGAACCAGATCGAGTGATGGACAATCTACGGCGGCAGATGGAGCATCTCAACTTCAACTGAAGTCGAATGGAGTGCAGGCAGATGATCGATGATCCGGCGTTGTTTGGTCTCAGACCTGCATAGTAGGCGCCTCATAAACCCTCGTGTGAATTAGTACAAAAACGGCCTCACATTTCCTCAGCTATGCTGTCCAGGAGTGATCAGCTCCCTTCGCGGCAAGGATAATGAGCTTTGTCGAGAAGCGGTGTGTGGCGCTGCTGCCGGAATCTGTGGAGGATTGCGGAGGTCGTCTCTTGGATCTGAAGCAGGCAGAATGTAGGCAGAATGTACATCCCTCCGATCCATGCCTGCACGTGACATAGTTTATTACGGCAGTGTACCTCGCTAATCTATTGGACGCAGTTCACGAGGCACATGATTATGCCGCCGAGCTAATCCCACACAACAGGAGGCAGGACGAGTTTTCGGGTCTTCATCGGAAGGCAGGGTTTACTTCACAAGGCTGCGTGCCAACGTGAAGGATTCCATCTCTAAAAGGAAAAGCAGGTGCAGGCTGTGCAGATGCACAGAAGACGCGCTATGTACAGAGAATTGGGGTAAAGCGTGGAAAAGATAATGCTACTGGTAGTTGTGAGGGGGTTGCCACATGGCATCTGATTCAAGGGTAAGCCACGTGTCTTGCTTGATAAGACATGCATGATTAGTGTACGTCTTTGGTTCGGTGGTCGTACTGCCGCCGTTTCTTATCATATGCGGATTCGGAGATACCGACCGTTGTTGATCTTGGCGATCTACGGCCACAGCGCTTTTTTTTTTTTTTTCCAAAGACCCAGGCTTGATCTGCACTGAACTGAAAGTGGATGGAGGACGGACGGTTGAGAGTTGAGACAGCGGGTCGGTTGGTAGATTTGCAAGATGTAAATAGCTGCAATTGTCTAGAGGCGGCGGATTTGTATCTTTGTGACGAAAAGAGTCGTTCAATTGTTTCGAATAATATAATCCAACTGGCGATGCAGTTTGTGTCGAAGGTTTCATTGTTATCAATGACTCGACGAGTAGTCGAACTCGTGAATGGCTGTGATTGTTGCTGTTCCGTCTTCCTCTCGCCTCCTCTGTTGCCTGTTTTCGTCCACTCTTTCGTGCATTCGCGGCTTCGCTGCATACATGGCTGAGGGCGAAGTCACACTCCCGGTAGCACCTGTTTTTTTATTTCTGGTCAAAATTGCGGCCAGAGGCATACTGGCCCGCCGCAAATGTGGAGAGAAACATGTAGGAGAGTGCTACGGGTGTGTGAGTACCCTTGAGTGGGATTCATCGGGGTCCTAAGAGCAACCCTGGGTAATGCTGGTAGGGGTGCTGATAAGAGCAAGCACCACGAGCACTCCTGAGGAGGCTCCATCCATTGGTGGGGATCAGCACCTGCTGGAAGTCGAGTCCAGCCGCACCTCTGAACATTGTAGGTGCTTGTTCGAGCACACCTTTGACCGGAAGATTGTGTTCTGGTTTTTAGAAATAAAAGAAAAACAAAAGGAAGTGAGGATCGATTGGCGCCCTCGCTCCGCTACTCTCGACATGTGGGGAACAAAAAAAAAAAAAAAAAAAAAACGAGAGCGAATCTTCGGCTAGAACATGTCATTTGTGATAGGCGAGAATAGTCGAGCGAGGCCCTGGGCTTACATTGAAAATGTCTGCGAACCTGTCCCAGATTTTGGCTCTCGCCGCACGGCGCACGAAACGAAAACGAAACGAGTGCATCTGCCCAGGAAAGGTGGCAAAATACACTCGTTACTATTTATAGCAAACCGATGAACCTGGCCATTTTCTGCAGGAAATTTCCATCGTTTCTTTTTTCGTTTCGTGTCCCGTGCGGCGACGCCCTTTGACCAACAGAAGCTCCGAACACAGAGAATAGCAGGGCACTTTCTTTTTCTTTTGGGGGGAGTATAGCAGGTCTCACATTGATTGCCCTCATGTGGAGGGGATTGATGCTTCCTGTGGCAGCAGAATCATCCCTTTTTTTCCTGTGGGAGATTATTTGTCGAGGTGATAGGAACAGCCCCCACGAATAGGGTCGCGAAAGAAGACGACTCCAATCTATTGGGGGGGGTTCTCCCTCTTCCAGCGAAACAGATCCCTTGGCCCTACCTACTCACATGATCTGATCTTCAAGTGTTCACACCGTGTCAGAGTCTGCAGTGATCGGAGGATTCGGAGAGAAGAAAAAAATACTAAAATTCCTATGCTACACCATCGACCACTCGGACATTTTGGGAACTTAAAATTTCTTATCAGACTCGTGTAAATTTTTAATGAGTCTGACAAGAAATTTATATAATAAATAAATAAGGGGTGAATACGTGGGAACTGAAGTTGCAGACATCGAGGATAAGCTAACGAAAGGGGTGAGTAGGGGGAACCTAAATTGCAGGATGAAGTGATCAGCTTTTTTTTATTTTTTTGAGAATACGCTCCAGTCTATTCGTGGAGAGCAGCATGTGCTGGGAACCGGGCCCAGCAGCCCATTCAAGATCATATTGAGAAATTGAGAAATTTATGGGAAACCCCTTGAGATACCGGGGCCATTACCTGGCTTCTGCTAAGAAAGACAACTGTATACAAGAACGCTAGAATTCTCCATCCCCCAAAGCTCAGATCAAAGGAGCATTCAGAAAGAAAGAACCACCTGCTTTAGGGCCATTCAGCAGCCCAACCCTACATGCCTCACCCCTATATCCCGGTGCCCAATGTCTACCAGGCCTCATGCCTAACTGCTAGATTACAGAGTGGCATGACCCACCCCAGAAAACCACCACCTGCTAGGCCACAGGGCAAAGTGACCCGCCCAGCATAGACCAGGCACCAGTGCCGTCCACCCTGATAACTCCCCAGAACTCTCTACCAGGTCTCATGCCTCGAGTACAGGGCAGTGCAACCAAGCCGTAGCACCGACCAGTTCTGGCTGTCTATTGGCAAACCACCGGTTCTCAGGACTATGGCAAATACCAGTCAAGCCACCAATCCGCACCATGGTTGTAGATCCCAGCATTCATCTCCTTCATGCACTGGTTGCAGATATCCCCCAAAAAATGCCTTTCAGCCCTACTCCGGCAAGTCTTACCACGATGAAGTCACCATCTACACCGCTGCTGTACCCTATTTCAACCCTACAGGCTAGCCCCTACGCTGCAGACCGTGTCATCTCCAACCCTCACAGCACCACTACCCCCTGCCTTCAGCGCCAAACCTTGGAAGAAATTTTTCAATTAGGAAAATAGGAAATCAAAAGATTCCAAAAAATCATTGGAGCATTTCAGCGACTACTATTCCTACAAGAAGAGGGGAAACCCCATGGAAACTACAGCGCCTATTGAAGTCTCAGGTACATGGCCTATTGCAGTCTCAGATACATGTAAAGGGGTCACAAGAACCAAAGGGATTACTCCTCTCCCCCAAAAGTCAACCCCCTGTCTGTTCACTGCCGCCGCGGGAAGGTGCCCCCTCACCTCCTCGCCCTAGTTCAGAACAGCCTCCAGAATACCCCTCCTGCTCCCTCAGTCGCATACAGTACCCCGAAAAGTATTCCCCTGCAGAGCCGAAGATCCCCCTTCCTTCCTGCTCCAAGCCCTCCAAGCGTAACAGCCCTTTCAACTCTCACCCTGCTGACATCAGCACCCCTTGTCCTCTCTCCCGAACGCCATAGCTGATCCAACCCAAAATTCAGCATGGCCCAGAAAAGAACAACCCTCAATACCGCCCCTATGACGAACTACTTTCCATGAATGCGCCACTTTCTGTGCAACTGTATTTCGAGGGTTAATCGGGAAGGGCCCTAACTACATGAATGCCCCCGTGTGATGCTCAACCTCACGCCCTGTGCTGCTTTCCGGTCTGAGTATTTTGGTTTGCGGAAAGGCCCGGGAAGAGCAACAAAGAAAGATGGGGTGTGCCAAGGATTTTTGGGAAAATTGAGTGTGGGGACACAGACAGAACTGAGATCTTTGAATCCCCTGCGGTAGCGGTCGCCGCGGGCACGACGGCACGACCGCGGACTGCGGTCTTGACCGCGAGGCTGCGGTCATGAAAAAAAAAAAGAAAAAAAGAAAACATTCAGAAAAATCTGACAAAAATATATGTTATGCCAAAAAATAAACTGAACAACTTTTGCCACACGACATTCAAAATGCTCAGCTCCCGTGATGTCGCGTTCAAGCGTCGGGCGCTCGCATTAGGGTTGACTCAAAACTATTGACATATTGCGCTAAAACTTGGCGGCGGCGAGGCTATGGCGTGGTAGGGATGAGTGCAAGGGCACTGTGGGAACACCCGAATGAGACCTTGATTGGTCTTTGGCCATCGCCTAGTCCCGGTTGAGAGTTGGCTGTTGGTTGACAATCAGCAATGCAGTAGAGTCGTGGGTGGATGTGAGTGTGAAGTGTGGGTGGCTTGCTGGCGGGATTTGGACGTGGGAGTATATCTTTTGTAACCCGATTGGGGGGGGGGTTCTCTCCCCTGGTCTCTGATACGGAGTTGCCATGGGGTGATCCGGCCTCCGGCGTTCAGCTGGTTGCAGCACGGGCAGATGTTGTTTACTCACTGTCAACTTTGACACTTGTGAACCTTCAACTTCGGCTCCGAAAGACGGTTGGCTGGGGTTTATTGACCGTCGATGTGGCGGCAACTGTTGGGATCGGCTTCTTCAGCATGATTGAAAGAACAATGGCGGAGTTCATTTTTGACGACTTTTTACTTTCTCCTGGCGATGAAGTACTCCTACATCCGTTGTTCCTTTCGACATTACATGTCGCCTTCTGAATGACGGTTGACAATCTTGGACTTCGCCTTCCGGACATAGGTTCCGACGCTACTTTTTCTGTCTTGACTTTTGCAGCCTCATTCCTTTTTGTATTTTGTTCGTGTCACTTTTTCGCCCTTCCGTCTCGCTTTTGACAAATGCTATCTGCCTGCTGATATCTCGCATCTTATCACTTCTTCGCCGTTCCGACTCGCTTTCGCCACGTCCTACCTGCCTGGTGATATTTCGTATCATCCCTGTAGGGCTAACTGTATTGCTCTCGTTATAATTAGCGTACCTTTTCTTATGTGTCACTCTTCTACTTTTTCATCTTCTTTGATGCATGTTACCCGCTTAGGGATGCAGGCGCGCTGGCGTGCACAACACTTTGACCTCAATCTGATTTTCGTATCATTCCTGCTGCTTTGCTCGCACGACTCTTGACCATTGACGCCCGCAATCTCATTGTTTGACCCCTGATCTGATTGTTTGACCGGAGAGTGTAGTATCCTTTCACCGGCTATCGGGGAGCAAACACCGTAGAATGATCGCCTCGACGACATACTGCACCACTGCTTTCTCACTGGAGAGGAGGATTCGGCTCAAGCGGCCCGATATATATCAACACGCAGGGACCCTAAAGAGAAAGACACAGTTATTGTTGATATACACAACGATGCTACTGACCTCACGATACAATACCTTCGACGCCATGGGGTAATGGTTGTGTTCCAAGGACCCGGTGCTGATGCGACCTTTGCTGTCAAAGAGTAATGGCTGAGATCGATCAAGGAACGATGGGATCTAGCCATCGCCCAGGGGCAAAAAGGTCGCATCAGACCCGAGGGCGCTAACATGATAAGTTACTTGGCACCAAACCACGCCCTTAGAGATTGGATAGTTGAGACGCTTAAAACTGAAGAACGTGCCGTTGTTGGTGGTAAGTCGTGTAAATTTTGTATCGCCCATGGGCAACCCCTGCTAGCTGGCAAAAGGGAAAGATGATGCCACGACCCATAAATTTTGGATAAGGGTACTTCGTATCCCTTTTTTAGCTATGCCTTTCTTGCAAGCTGCAGTGGAAAAAGAATATGGTCAGGTTGTCAAGACACATCCCCCTGAACARAACAAAGCAAACCCTCGTCTTGTCAACCGCCGCTATGACTTGCATCCCAGGGTTTAAACGGAGATTGAAAAATTTCTGAAATTTCGATCTTCTCAGGGATGGCACAA